CAAGGGGTTTTTCCCGGTCTGTTGGGCTTTCCCTGGGGCTGGGGCCAGTGGCAGCTTGCAACGCAAGCTCTCGGACGGCCCAGATTTAATCCCCGTGGTAAGTGCCGATGAGCTCGTCTGGGACGTGGGCGGAAGTTAAAATTGGAGTCGGACCACCAGGACCCACGCTGCGATGATGAGTAGTGGACTTTGCAAGAGCTAATGATGCCTCTTCCTTGGCAAAGGTGAGCAGCCACAGGGAGAACACGCTCTGCAGCTCAGGATACTCGCTGCACGCATCCCGGCCTGCTGCAGCCATCTCCTGAGGCCGCCGCGCTCAGCCTCGGGGGCCCAGAGAGCCCGCAGATTTGTCCCTGCCCTCCCTCAGCCACTTTGGGCCAGCCCTTGCTGCGCTCTTCCTGCTAGATGTGGCCCCTGGCTCTGGTCCGTGCGCCTCACAGCTCTGCCCCATCCCTCCAGCCCAGGAGTGGGTGTTGCAGAGCAGGGACGGGTCCCCTCCACTGGTGTCACAGGAGCTGGCATGAGGCACACACAGGGGCTGGGGGCACAGGACACTCAGGGGACCCCATGGGAGAGGATGTCCTGTGCATAGACCCCAAGGGGGGATCCTGCGGGAGGGGATGCCCCGTGCATGGTCCCTCAAGGGGGGGGACCCTGCAGGAGGGGAAGGGGATGCCCTGTGCAGGGTCCCTCGAGGGATGCCCCGTGCCCTTGGGGGGGTGGCCCGTGCACGGTCGTGGGGCAGAGTCTCCGCAGAGGGTCTTTGCGGGACTGTGGAGGGGTACGCAGCGGTGGTGGCGTGGGGGGCGATGGCTGTGGGGCAGGGAAGGGTGGCTGTGGGGCGCTGCAGGCAGGGCTGGGGGGAGGCGAGCGGGGAGGACAGAGCGAGAAGGCAGGGGAAGGGGCAAGAGGCTGCCGTGGAGGGAGGCTGAGGGAGCAGACCTGGCTCAGTTCCCTCTGCCCCAAACCTTGCCTGCCCCATGTGCTTCAAGGAGACACCCCTGTCTGAGCCCTCCAAAGGGGTCCCTAATAGCGTGAAGTCCAGGATCTTTCCGGGGCATATGGAGGGCAGGCGGGGGTAGGACCCAGCCAGGCTTTACCCCAAAAGCTGTGAGCAATGACAGGACAAGGGACTTGCAGTTTTGGCAGCACCAAAGCTTTACTGCGAGCAGAGCAGTTCTGCAGGGTCGTGGGAGAAGAGCAGCTCAGCAGCCCTCCAGCAGCTGCGTGGGAGACGCAGAGCTGGGAGGACGGACGGGGTGGGCAGAGGTCCTCAAATCGAGGGACACATGGGGACACAGGACACAGCTGACTCTTCTGAGGCAGTCGCGTGTCCCATCACTGGAACCGGGTGAACACGTTACTGCCGATACTGCAGGGAAACACAGAGCTCGTACCTTGGTGTATCGAAGTCAGGAGGGACTTTTTGGTCTGACCCCTGCACAGCACGAGGGTGACCACCAATAATGCCCGTCCTGAGCACAGTGATTAGCATCAGTTGGAGCATCCTCCAGATGCAGGGATGGCCCCGCACCCACAGGCCCTGCTCTGCCCACGGCTCACCTGGTGGCTTTCCAGTCGTCCCTCAGGTTGTGGACCTCCTGTCGCAGGAGCCACGTGGTCCTCAGAATTTCCTTCCCGTCCTTGGCCCACGGCTCACCTGGTGGCTTTCCAGTCGTCCCTCAGGTTGTGGACCTCCTGTCGCAGGAGCCACGTGGTCCTCAGAATTTCCTTCCCGTTCTCTTCCACGAAGCACTGGCCCGTGAAGACGGTGGTGGAGTCTGCAGGGAAGGGATGGGAAGTGGGGTGAGTGCCGAGGCCAGCGCCGAGGGGGGACAGCACCATTCAGTCAAATAAAGGTCCTGCACCCTACTCGCATCTGGGAAGGGACACAGAGAGGGTCCCTGCAGTGGAGAGTGGGTGAGCAGGGGATGACTGGTTCACCGTGGACACTGGGAGCGTGGTGCTTCCTACAGGTACTCTGAAGCCCCCAGATTAGGGGTTTCTCTCTGCTTGGGAGGCAGCAGGCCAGTTTGGGGTGAAAAAGGCTGCTATGACCACCTAGGGTCAAGAACAGCCTCTTGCAGGGGTCTCATCAACTCATAAAGGGAGCGTCCACAAATAATATAGATGGCTGGGTTTTGGTCCTAGCTCATAAAGGTGTAGCTCATAATGTGACAGCTTTGCAGCTGAGAGCCCCTGTGTGTCCTGTGGTGACCTGTGGGTGACGGTTCCCTCTCCAGTCTGTCACTGCTGGAATCAGAGACAGCAGACCTGAGGGATCTGGGATTTCAGCTCTTGGGGGTGACCAGCCCAGCTGAGCCCAGATCTAGCTCTGCCCCCTCCTCTTCTTGGGCTAGACCTGCCTTGGACACAAGCCAGACACGGGGATTGGGATTGGGAGGTGCCACCACCCAAGCAGCTCCTGGGCTGGGAATGGGGGAGCATCAGGCACACCACAGGGGAGGGCAGAGGCCACTGGGGACACTGCAGGGAGGCTGAGGAAGGAGGAATTACCTGAAAAACTCCAGTTGACAGTGAAACCAAAGGTGGGTTGGTTCTGCTCGTTCTTATGGTGCTGGGAGCCCTGCAGCGGAGAAACCTTGATCTTTTCCTTTGTGGCTGTCACGGCTGTGTAGTACAAGCCAGAGAAATTGCCATTTTTGCTCATAGAACTGATGGTCATATTGGAGCCCAGCTCATTGATCCAAGACCCTGTCAGGACACACTGCAAAGGGGAAATCAGCCCCGGCTGCCGCAGCGCAGCCAGGACAGGGGCAGAGATGCCGGAGCAGGCATCCCGCAGGGCTCCCTGCAGCCCCACCCATGCCCCCGGCGTGGGCTGGCG